TACAGGTAACGTGTGTTACATAATCAGATTACTTTAGGATGTAACGAGTAAAGTAACGCATTACAGGTAACGTGTTACATATTCAGATTACTTTAGGATGTAACGAGTAAAGTAACGCATTACAGGTAACGTGTGTTACATATTTAGATTACTTTAGGATGTAACGAGTAAAGTAACGCATTACAGGTAACGTGTGTTACATATTTAGATTACTTTAGGATGTAACGAATAAAGTAACGCATTACAGGTAATGTGTGTTACATAATCAGATTACTTTAGGATGTAACGAGTAAAGTAACGCATTACAGGTAACGTGTTACATATTCAGATTACTTTAGGATGTAACGAGTAAAGTAACGCATTACAGGTAACGTGTGTTACATAATCAGATTACTTTAGGATGTAACGAGTAAAGTAACGCATTACAGGTAACGTGTGTTACATAATCAGATTACTTTAGGATGTAACGAGTAAAGTAACGCATTACAGGTAACGTGTGTTACATATTTAGATTACTTTAGGATGTAACGAGTAAAGTAACGCATTACAGGTAACGTGTGTTACATATTTAGATTACTTTAGGATGTAACGAATAAAGTAACGCATTACAGGTAATGTGTGTTACATAATCAGATTACTTTAGGATGTAACGAGTAAAGTAACGCATTACAGGTAACGTGTTACATATTCAGATTACTTTAGGATGTAACGAGTAAAGTAACGCATTACAGGTAACGTGTGTTACATAATCAGATTACTTTAGGATGTAACGAGTAAAGTAACGCATTACAGGTAACGTGTGTTACATAATCAGATTACTTTAGGATGTAACGAGTAAAGTAACGCATTACAGGTAACGTGTTACATATTCAGATTACTTTAGGATGTAACGAGTAAAGTAACGCATTACAGGTAATGTGTGTTACATAATCAGATTACTTTAGGATGTAACGAGTAAAGTAACGCATTACAGGTAACGTGTGTTACATAATCAGATTACTTTAGGATGTAACGAGTAAAGTAACGCATTACAGGTAACGTGTTACATATTCAGATTACTTTAGGATGTAACGAGTAAAGTAACGCATTACAGGTAACGTGTGTTACATATTTAGATTACTTTAGGATGTAACGAGTAAAGTAACGCATTACAGGTAACGTGTGTTACATATTTAGATTACTTTAGGATGTAACGAATAAAGTAACGCATTACAGGTAATGTGTGTTACATAATCAGATTACTTTTCTGATGTAACAAATAAAGTAATGCGTTACAAGTCTTATGTAATCACTTTTTTAATGTAACTGCAAATTGCATTCTAATAACACAAATACATTTATTTACAGCCAAAAAAAAAACGTGTTACTGCAGATGAAGTATTTTCAAGAACAACAGTCACAGTAATAGTTGTTGCTGAAATATAGCTAGTGATGCATAATGTCCAATTTAGTGAACAGATGATTAATCAGAATTTCTTCCCAATCTCAAATCAATACTTGAAAAATGTAACAGTGATATGAATCCCTAGATGGTACTTGATGCTACAAATTTTTTTATTACCTGCAAGAGTCTCCTTGAAATTCCTTGTTTCCTTGACATTCGCATAACCAAGAGACGTTTCTAAGGGCAGGTGTTCTGACGATTCATGCTACCCATCGAGATTTGCTACTTACTGGTTATGCGCATGTGCAGACTCATTTTTTTTTAACAAAAGGTACATTTTCATGTGCTGTAAAGTAATTTCCCTTTAAAAAATGATAACTACCATATGAATATTTGTACGGTCAGCCAGCTGAACAAGAATAATTGAAAGTTTCAGTTACTAAGGAAAGGTGTGCTTTGACAAGTCAATATTTGATGATAATTTCTACTTTTCACACCGTTTAAAAAATAAAAACAGTAGTCTACAGTATACAGTAGCTACTCATAACTTAGAATTGTATTATAATTGTATTTCATATAATATTAATCGACATTCTGTGATTGATTCGCACTACGGTAGCATTTTTCGACAAGGCAGCACAAATCGATCATGCTTTTCTATGCCACTTTCCTATTGTTTTTCAATGTAAACACATGCTAGACAGACGTCTTTAACCATTTAACCATTAAAATTCTGTCATTTATGTCATCTGGCTACTGATTAAATTTTTACAGAATTTAGTTCCCCAGTACCTATCTGAACTGCTTCACCCAGAATCTAAGTCAAGATCACTAAGATCGGGGGATTCGAACTTACTTTCTGTCCCCAGGACCAGATTAAAAAATAGGGGTGACCGTGCTTTTGCAGTTTATGGACCCAAGCTATGGAATAGCCTACCCTTAAATATCAGATCCGCCCAAACTCTGACACTTTTTAAAACTTCTCTGAAAACGCACTTCTTTTCATTAGCTTTTAATATACCTTGATGTGTCCGTTTTTTCTTTTTGATGTATATTTGTTGGTTTCGTGCATGTATTGTCTACCTTTTTTATTGCTTTAAGCACTTTGGTCAACATCAGTTGTTTTTAAATGTGCTATACAAATTTCATCAGTTTAGGGTCCATTTTAAATATACGCGCAACATGTGTGAAAGCTATCCGAAATCACTCCTTACTTTCTCTTACCTCATATGATGCTGTTTCATTCTCCGTCTGATGGTTCTCTCGCTCGCTCCGAATAAGTTCGCTACCTCTTGAGCAGTAAAACCATTTAGAAGATACATCCTTAGCGTTTCTAATGGGATGTCGTACCTTGGACGGCCCGGGCCGACGAGACTCCCCGGACAATTTGCTGCCTGAAGGCACTGCACAACCTCACCTAGATTATTTACAACTCGATGATTGACATCGGAGTTTGTGACGGCTGCAAAGTGTCCAAGTGTATCTAAAATAGATTGAACTCGGAGCAAAATGAAGTCATCATCATCCGAAATGCTTGCTAGCTGGTTTAATTCTGCTGCTATACTGGTCATAACCGCCATTTTCGCTCCTCAGCATAACAGCCAGTGTTGCCAACTATTTTCAAAGGAAAGTAGCTAAGGCCTTCCCTAAAAGTCGCTAAATGTCGCTAGATGACGTCATACGTCAATTAGCATATTAATGACGTCATCGCGTCGTACTTGCGTTCTGTCAGCCTAGTGCGTTTTCTCTCTAAATTATTGCTCTATTTAACATAATATAGCCGAATGTCAAATAAAGCTGTTTTCATTTCCTTTTTTTTTTGTCAGACAATAGAACGAGTAGCTATAATATAGTGAATGATTACATTTTTTATTGGCCTATGTGGAACATTATCTGAATTGAGAGAGTTAGGGAACCGGATGAACTAAGCTCTGTGATAGTGAGTGTTACAAGTAATAAGCACAAGAAAATAAATAAAAATTAAAATGGTCAAACTAAATTCTTTAAATATAACAAAAGAAAAGCAGATAAGTGATAAGTCCATGGAAAAACACTGCTCATTCGCGTCTGTCAGCGGCCGTGCGCTCCTCTCAGCCATTCACTGAACATGGGAGAAGCAGCGAGAGAGAGTGACGACAGGGAGAAAGCAAGACCTCGCGCTCGCAGGACAGTACTGGCAACATTTGGAGGTTACTGAGGTTTGTCCAAAAAGTCGCTAAAATTGTCGCTAGTCGCTTTTTTGAAAAAATGTCGCTAAAGGGGTCTGAAAAGTCGCTAAAAATAGCGACAAAGGCGCTAAGTTGGCAACACTGATAACAGCGTAATTGAACCCCACCCACTCATTAACATATAATTTGCATACAGGTTGTCTTTGAAAATGAAAACGAAAACTAAAACTGTGAAATAAAAGAGTAAATAAAATGACAACTAAACTTTACATTTGAACTTGAATTTTGTCACTATTATTGCGTGAGTGTTAATAAAAAGCTTTGTAAAAACTGCATTTGCAGTTTCTTTTGCACATTTGCCTTTTCATTTTAATATTGGCAGTTTTACTTGAGATTGTAGTGAAAATGAAACGTGAAATCACCAATTGCATTTTATTTTTCAATTTGACAGGGATGATGCACTGTCACGGTGAAAATGAAAATGAAATAATTTAATTTCATTATCAATTCTGTCACATATTTTGCGTACAGTTTTCTATAATGAAATGGTTAAACTGGTTTTAGTTTTAATTTTTAACATTTAATTGATTTATTTAATTTTGGCAGAAATTGACTTCCATACTCTGGTATGATTTGATTTACATTTTAAACTGGTTGACTTATGTATGGATGATACAAACTTCAGTTCTGCTAAGGTCTGTTTCCCTGAAAAAAATTATTTTGGAAAAAAAAAGAACGTTAGCAAAAAAAAATTTTGTTCGCTGGGAATATTTACTCACACACACAAACACTAATCAAACGCGCTTTACTCGAGTATGAATACTAAAGTTATGATGTAACGCGCTTGAAAACAGTATGACGTCACTCACGAAAAAGTCACAAGTGTCTTTGATCTTTACGCGCGCTGAGAGATTGACAGGCGGTTGCTAGGGCGGTTGCTAGAGACTCAGATTCTCGGCTGAACCAGGGCTGAACTCTGGTGAGTTTTCAGACGCGGGTTATTGCTGTTTTCATGGTTTAAAGTGTGCAGAAATATGTGAATTACGGAGGAAATTAAACCGACACAGAGAATGAAAGTTGATCAGGGTTATATCGCTTTGATTCGATAGTTAGAAACTGCATTAAACGCGACAATTGAACGATCAATAAACAATGTGTCTTCGGTTTCGATTTAGCGTGACATATTTGCAGTTGTTTGATCAATATTTGAACAATATTAATAATGAATAAATAGCATAAAGCTATGAGGTTATTTTCATGACGATTAATTTCTCTTACTGTAATTCAAAATCAAATTATGCATTAGTATTTGTTGCACTGTATTTAACCCACACTGCTGCAAAAAAATATATATTAATAGCGCTGAAAAGGAACATGCATCTAGGATATTTCTTCCTGTTTATTTTTATTTTTTTGCGGTGAAATGTGTCTCTTGCATGCTTAAATCTCTATCGATGTTCTCATAAACCCTGATCAGAAAGAATCAGTAATGTCATCTGAACACACGAAGCTGTTGAGAAGACCCCTGCCCCCTATAAAGACAGCACACTACAGCTCAGCGCCTGCGCACAGGACTGCAGGTGACGACTCGTACATTTATCACATTACACACGGCATCATGTGACCTTTCCCGCCACTACTTGTTTTGGAATGTTCAGAGAAATTCAAAAGTAACGGTTCCATGACGTTTTCAAAATGATCAAATAGAATGTTGTCCCACATATGACATTGTTTACAAAAGTAAAACTTACCTTTTTGTTAAACTATTAATGCTGTGTGTTTAATAATTGATTTATTTGTATTATGCATTATCGTTTATGATATTTATTATGTTAATAAATGTATTATTAGATGTTTAATTAATGAGTCGTGTTCAAAAGCATCCCAGAATGCACCTGATGGGGGAGCAGAGCTATAATATACAATTAAAAAATGTATTTAGGTCTAAATTAAACATGTATTTGGATTCCACAGTTTTAATATAAACTAATAAACTTAATGTGATGCATATTTGTAAGTCATGCATAAATTTATGTAAATGTGTTTTATGCATTGTAACAAGGTTTATATGTTTATCATCAATGATTTTTCACTCAATGATACATTTTAACTAACGAAATATTGCTGGTGTTCACATGTTTTAACTGTATTAATTTAATTGTGAACAGATTTGTGCTGATTCTAAGCAAATTGAATGAGAAAATCTGATTATTTAAATAGATTCAGTTGTTGATGATAAACTATGCCATGATAAAAAAAAAAAAAAAGTTTGGTTATGTAAAACTGTGTAATTCAAATGGATGGAAATTTTATATGCCATTTAAATACATAAATCTTACATTTACGCCTAAATAAGACAAATTAGAAGCTCAAATATGAGTTTTCATTTATTCTACATTATTCCATTTCTATCATTTTATTTTAGCACTGCACTATTATTATAACGATATGAATATGATGATGTCATCTCTGTTTCTAGACCATGAACGGCGCGAGTGTGTTTGCAGTCCGCAGACGAAACTTGAGGATTCTGCTCGTGTTGGCCGGATCACATTACCCAGAATCCTCAGCGGTTTCCCCCATCAGCCTCAGCGCACGCCCGCGGATCGCCGACCTCTTGACCTCTTCTGCCTCAATGACTTCCTGCAGGTCGGCTGGTCGGTGTGTGTGTGTGTGTGTGTGTGTGTGTGTGTGAGACCTCTTCTGCCTCTGACTCCTGCAGGTGTGCCGGTCGGTGTGTGTGTGTGTGTGAGACCTCTTCTGCCTCTGACTCCTGCAGGTGTGCCGGTCGGTGAGTGTGTGTGTGTGTGTGTGTGTGTGTGAGACCTCTTCTGCCTCTGACTCCTGCAGGTGTGCCGGTCGGTGAGTGTGTGTGTGTGTGTGACCTCTTCTGCCTCTGACACCTGCAGGTGTGCCGGTCGGTGTGTGTGTGTGTGTGAGACCTCTTCTGCCTCTGACTCCTGCAGGTGTGCCGGTCGGTGAGTGTGTGTGTGTGTGTGTGTGTGTGTGTGTGTGTGTGACCTCTTCTGCCTCTGACTCCTGCAGGTGTGCCGGTCGGTGAGTGTGTGTGTGTGTGTGTGTGTGTGTGTGTGTGTGACCTCTTCTGCCTCTGACTCCTGCAGGTGTGCTGGTCGGTGAGTGTGTGTGTGTATGTGTGTGTGTGTGTGAGTGTGTGTGTGTGTGTGTGTGACCTCTTCTGCCTCTGACTCCTGCAGGTGTGCTGGTCGGTGAGTGTGTGTGTGTATGTGTGTGTGTGTGTGTGTGTGTGTGTGTGTGTGTGTGACCTCTTCTGCCTCTGACTCCTGCAGGTGTGCCGGTCGGTGAGTGTGTGTGTGTATGTGTGTGTGTGTGTGAGTGTGTGTGTGTGTGTGTGTGTGTGTGACCTCTTCTGCCTCTGACTCCTGCAGGTGTGCCGGTCGGTGAGTGTGTGTGTGTGTGTGTGTGTGTGTGTGTGTGTGTGTGTGTGTGTGTGTGTGACCTCTTCTGCCTCTGACTCCTGCAGGTGTGCCGGTCGGTGAGTGTGTGTGTGTGTGAGTGTGTGTGTGTGTGTGTGTGTGTGACCTCTTCTGCCTCTGACTCCTGCAGGTGTGCCGGTCGGTGAGTGTGTGTGTGTGTGTGTGTGACCTCTTCTGCCTCTGACTCCTGCAGGTGTGCCGGTCGGTGAGTGTGTGTATGTGTGTGTGTGTGTGTGACCTCTTCTGCCTCTGACTCCTGCAGGTGTGCCAGTCGGTGTGTGTGTGTGTGTGTGTGACCTCTTCTGCCTCTGACTCCTGCAGGTGTGCCGGTCGGTGTGTGTGTGTGTGTGTGTGACCTCTTCTGCCTCTGACTCCTGCAGGTGTGCCGGTCGGTGTGTGTGTGTGTGTGTGTGACCTCTTCTGCCTCTGACTCCTGCAGGTGTGCCAGTCGGTGTGTGTGTGTGTGTGTGTGTGTGTGTGTGACCTCTTCTGC